GCTCACAACACAAAAAGTATAAATTCGCATATGATCCTTTGTGTAACTGATCATTATGCACTGTATGACTGTACTGTACGTATAAAGCGCGTCTTAGGTAACTTTTATTTCGCGTCTATAAGTTATATAAAGACTTTTTTTAACTTTATCTTCTCTTCTGAAAATTCTTTTACGTTATATGAGGTTTCATCAATAGAAAAACATCTTCTTACTTAATAATTTATTGTTATAAGATGTGTTTCTATCGACGAAGCCCCTTATTAGCAGAAGAAATTTTATCTAAAGTTCAAAATTGTGGTAAGTGACGTGTTACTTATTATTCTAGAAAAAATAATAGATTATTTCCTATAATAAATATTCTAACAGTTTTTATCAATTTCAGAATATTAGGAGAGCCCCTATACACGATAGAGCAGTGATGGGCAATAACTTTTATTGGAATTAGAAGCTTAAATGTGCTTCCAATTTCCAATGCTCATCACTGCGAAGGAATGTCAAAACATGGGACAAATTCCACCGCAAAAAGTACTCTGACGCAACAGAAAGGTCAACTCACAATGATTTAAGAAGTGAATTGAGAAAGCTTACAGAGAATTTAGAGTCTGGAAAATAATATGATATGGTACTAGCGTTGTGCCATAAATTAAAGGTTATTTTACGTGTTTTTATGAAGTAGAAGTATAGTGAGCGTGCTACACCCTGTCCCTTTGTGTATGGGGAAGAAGAGCGTCCAGACAAAGAGCTTCTGCGACGTGCACATCTTGCTATGAGATTTTAAGGTCTGCTGATTCTGGGGAGGAATCGGCTATGTACCTTCCTTTATGATGAAGGATCTTACTCATGCCACCTCTTTTTGCGTACTATTACAGAAATCTGGCACTAGCACCATCAGGATTCCAGTGAAAGTACCACCACCAGGAGGGAAAGCACTTAAAGAAATAACAAAAAAGAAAATTTACCCAAAAGAAGTAATGATAATAAAATGGATAGCCCAAATAAGAGACTTATTCGATAATGAAGCTTCTGCTGGTAAGATATAATAAATTTCCTGCATTTAGTAATATCAATCTCAACAAACTCATTCATATTTGATTTTCTGAACAAAAATTATTCATAATACGTTACCAAACCTGATCACCTTCAGTTAAAACGTAATAAATCGGATACAAGTACCAAAAATCAGTTGAACAACGGTTTCCAATAAGATTTTAAATTGGGTAGAATTCAAAGAGGAAGTGCGAACTCGGAAGCAAGAATGTGTGGATAAGATGTATAAAAAACCAATGTTTGGACCACGTACAGCATCGGAAATAAACATCCACACATTCTGACACCATTAGACAGGTCAATTTTGATTTCGTGCTTTAGAGGATACAATAGGAGAACCGGATTTTATAGTGGTTGACGACAATTATGCCATTCGAATACAAAACCCGATGGCAGTGTTGTCATGTGACAGGGACATGGGACAACGACACATTTTCGACTTTTTATGTCCGGGACATTTTTGGGACAAATTTTACTATAATAGATTATATATAGAAACATTTTTTTGGGACATAAGGGACGGGACGGGACATTAAAAAATCTGTGGAGGGACATTAGAAAGGGAAATTTGCAGATTCCAAGAATACCTCAATATATGATCTCATAAATCAAATTTATGCGACCGCTATATTGTCACCTCCTATATAGTCATTCCGTTAAATAAAGAACTCGTTTCACGTGATACAAAAAAGTGGTTTAACGAACGGAAAAATTTAATCCAGATTTTTATTGTCACAACATGCCCATATATTTGTTTATTGTAAAGGGTTGATGCAAATATAAATAAATAAAATAAATGCGTCTAAATATAATTGAGACATTTATATGTTGACATACAAAAATGCAACTAATCTAATGAGTAGTAAAATAATAAGTTATTAATCAGCATATTGTTTACATTTCACGCTAATGATCTCTCTCTCATTCCATTTCAATGCACTTAATTCGCCACCATAAACGCATCTGGAATCAAGCCCAAAACTGTAAGGCTTTATTTTCAATCCTCGCGAAGCGTCATGACCATAAATGACCGTTTTAGGTGATAATGATTTCTCTTGCGCTGCATTCCAATATTTGGTCCAAGCATGACCTTCCTTTTTGTTCTTTGTAGATTTACCATCATCTTTGATATTACGCTGAATAATAATAATAATAAAAGAATACGTCAGGATCAAAAAAAAAGAACATTATTTTGGAAAAAAAAAAAATAAAAATCTCCGTTATATGTGTGAATTTACCATATTCATTAAATCGAAAGGATTTTGTCCTAACAATGGAGTATCTGGTAATAAACCAGCATGAACTACATATAAATCATGTTCTGGAATATTCAGAATAATAGGACAACAAAGAAAGTATTCATAAAGTTCCGAGTCGAGTTGCCTATAGGTGATAATCATTTTTAAAGATTTAATATGAAGTTTGTTTCCCTGATTAATAGGATCCACATCCTTTACTTACTCTGCTATTAATCTGTGCTCGGATTTCACCGACATGTCTTTAGGCATATTGTTCTGTCGAATATATTCATCTAATCCGATTCCTTGAGCATCTAAAGAATCTAATAAACTCTTCCACCTCAAAACTTTATCATCATGATTTCCACGTACGCAACTAGCCCCCAAAGAATGGATCAACTTGAGAACTTGAATAGATTCCGGTCCTTTTGCTACCAAATCACCTACAAAGATCAGATGATCTTTTAAAGGATCATAACCAATTTTATTTATTAACTCCGAAAGTTCATTAATCATTCCATGAACATCACCAATGAAAATAATATTCTTATGAGAAAGAGAATCTTCAAGTGTATAAAGTAAACTATAATTAGCACTTGGAGTTTCAGAAACGGGTTTCCTGGTTGAGAGATGGTCTCTCGATATAGTAAATATAAATAAAGCGCAAAGTGATATTATAAGGATAAACGTTATAAACCTGACACTTAGCAAGTCGTAAAAGTGTTTTTTCTTGTTATATATTATTTGGTTGTATGTGCCCTTCATTTTTATTTTTATTTTTTTTTGGTGAGATGGCATAAATTTTGCGAGTATCTATATAATCTATATATTTATATATTTATACATCTATCTATCTATCTATCTATCTATTCTATCTATCTATAGAAAAAAAAAAAATAATAATTTCCTAAAAGGATATTTCGCCAAATGCCTTCTGCCAGAATCGAACTGGCGACCTTCTGCTTACTAGGCAGACGCTCTGCCAACTGAGCCAAGAAGGCAATTCTTGGAAAGGAGTGAAATAAATACATTTTGTTTTATAATATTTGTTTTAATTCAAGACGAAAATTCTTTAAATTTAACAAATATCACGTGTAATAACCACAATAATTTATATCATTTGTTATACAAGAGAAATTTTTCATGTCTAATCTAAATTTTATAAAATTTTTGATAATATTGTAATTGAATTTTTTTAAGGCTAAAAGGCTAAATAAAGTTCATTTTTTTGATATAAAATTTTTTTTGACTAATTTGAAAAAAAATTTGGTAATAAAAAAAAAAAAAAATTTTTTAAGTTGTAATATTGTAATATGTAATAAAAAAAAATATTTAACAAAAAAATTGTTCAACTCCACATCCCATATATTCTATAAAGACAATCCAGAATCATTAAAACTACAATTTCATAATGCTAGTAACCGAAGTCTCTAAAAAAAAAAGGATCATGATCATATAAACCATTATTTCCCTAAATTCTAATTCCCATAATTTCCAAAAAAAAAAAAAAAAAAAATGTCCAAAATATTTTATCAACCATCCCATTTCTCCAACCATAAGAACTTTTTTTTTTACATGTTCCTTACAAATACAGATTGAGTCGGTATTACCATCTGAGAGACTGGACTATCAAGTCCCGTCATTCCAGTCAAGGATGATGTCATCCCTATGCTCATTATATTACCTGAATTAACATTTCCGTTAGATCCATTAGATACTGTTGTAGTAGATAACATTGCCGAGGTACTTTTCTCCCATAAACCTTGAGACGGGACAATCATTGAAGTAGTAACAGAATTTGGTGAATTATTATCGGTATTCACCGAGCTACTTGTTACTTCAGTCGTGGTAGAACTTGAACCTATAATACCATTTTTACTACCATTATCAGTTTCTTTGACCACATTAGAAGAGGACGACGATGGATGAACAACGCCTAATCCGTTAGATGCAGCCGTTGTGGTGGAACCCGTAGAGTCAGAAATTCCATTTGTTTGATTTTGAATATGTGCATTTATTCCGACAAGTCCACTACCGATAGCACCAGGATGATGTTGATGCTGATGATGGTTATGAGAATGTTGATGTTGGTGTTGTTGTTGTTGATGATGATGAGCTGCTACAACAGCTACTTGAGGATGATGGTGATAAGCTGTTGGAATCACTGGAGGACGATGGTGAGGATGATGATGGGGATGGAAAAATAATTGTTGTGGGGTTGGACTAAGATGAAAACTTCCAAAATTTGATGTTAAATTGTGTATTGGATTATTGCCAGTACCATAATTATTATTATTAACATCTGCTGTCCCGTTAATTCCATTATTATTGGCAATTCCATTCGTCGTATTTGAAGAAGGTGCTGGAAAGGCTCCTAATGCGCTAAAATTAGAAAGTGCTGATGATATCTGGGGTGATTGGTGAGTCTTCCCAATTGGACCAAAACCGGAAAATTGCGTTGTTGGCGTCACAATTGGTTGATCTTGGGAGATATTTTGTGATGATTGATTAAAGTTTTGCAGTGAATTAGCTCCAACCCCATGAACAGAACCGACTGAAGAAACAAGTGGAATAGGTTGAAATGAAGAAGTAGCATTAGTATTCGGATTTGGGAGGTTATTTAAATGTGCTAACGGATTATAAGAAGTTGGGAATGGTGTAGGACTAGTTAATGATGGTGTTGTTAAAGGTGGTGAAAAGGGTCCCATGTGAGTTGGAGGAATAAAATGAGGATGAGGAATTGGTGGATGACCCAAATGAAAATTATGGTGATGAATAAGTGGAGGAGGAGGCGGTCTATGATGTGGATGTACGGTCAAATGTGGATGCGGAGGTGGATTATGATGATGATGCGGAGGAAAAGGTGGAAATGAAAATTTATCAAAATGGACACGTAAAATCCTTCCTTGAAATTCATAGCCATTGTACATCCCTAAATTATTATTGTGTAGAAAAACATCGATTCAACATTTAATTTATATATATATTTATTAAAAAAAAAAAAGATAATAAATAAAATGCAAATTTTTCTTACCAACAGCATTCCTAGCATCCTCAGGTGTTGCGAACAACACTGTGCCAAAACCTCTACTTCGTCCGTCATAATTAGTTGAAACATCAGCCCTAATAATATTTCCGGCATTACGGAAGAGATCTTTCAGATCTTGCCATTGACAATTAAATGGTAGCTATAAATATTTGAATCAAATAAATTATAATGTATAATATGACATACAAAATGACGAAAAATCCAAGATCTTACATTTCCAACAAAAAGTAATTTTCCAGCATAATTTTGCTGAGGGGCCTGAATTCTAGCCGGCTACAAAAACAAAAAAGAAAAGTAAAAAAAAAACCTTGAATACTTTCTTTTAAAACATATCGAATATTACTTACTCCATAGATAAGACCTTCTAGTCCTATCACATGACCCGGCCCATAAGGGTTTGTCGCAAGATCAACCATTCGACGTGAATGGTCTTGTGAGTGATGATGGTGATGATGATAATGATGTCCATTACCATTAACGTTATTTTGAACGTTCGGATCAACAAATCCTCGATCCTCTCGTACCTCCAAGATTCTACCTTGCCAAGGCTTTTGATTAAACATAGCTGAATAAATTAAGGACATTTATGATAACTGTGTAAATGTCTTTTAAAAAAAACAAAAATTCACATCTCACTAAAATTTAAAAGTTTGTACCGATCGCGTTTTTTGCTTCTTCAAGAGTTGTAAATAGCACAGTACCATGACCTTTTGATCTATTATCATATCCCAGCGCAACATCTGCGCGTATGACCGTCCCCGCTTTTCTAAATAGATCCTTCAAATCTTGCCATCTCACACGAAATGGTAGCTATGAAGAATATTATCATATAAAGATTAGGTGTTACGGCCCAAATTGATGATTCGGACTTTATCACTTACATTTCCAACAAATAATTGCCTTTGTAAGGTTGAAGAATTAATAATCCCTGGAGATGAATTATTTGCTGTATATTCTTCACTACATGTTGTTCCATTCGTAATCCCGTTAATATTTGTACCATTCATGTTAAGAATTTCATTTTTTGTAATTTTTGTAATGGAAGAATAGTCTACGGGTGATGTAGTAGATTGTGTTGATGAGGAGGTGCCATTGATATCATTTGAATTCACTGATACCGATAAGCCATTAGTTGAAGTGATTTTATCGTTTTCCGACTAAGGATTACAAATTTAAATAAATAGAATTTCATCCCAATATTTTTTTTTTTTTAGCAAACCAAAAAAAAAAAAAATCTGGATTACTTAATTAAATACCTCAGTTTGATCAATATTATTGACACACTCCGTACGTGGAGGAGGTGGAGGGTAATCGTTTGCAATACGATCCTAATACCAAATTTTATTTGTTCGTAAATCAATAAATCAATGAATCAACAAATCAATAACCGTGATTAAAAATTAATACAAATCATTTACCTCCCTAACTTCTAACTTCCTACTATGCCATTCATATCCATCAAATTCTACTGTTTTATCACAATACACAGAGTATTAATATTGAGAAAATTCTTTCTTTTGAATATGATCACAATCCCATTTTATTAAACAATAATATAATGTAACTTTAGATTATCTTACATATGGCTTTTTGTGCGTCTGCAACTGTAGCATAGAGTACAATACCATGTCCTTTCGACCGACCATCGCGACTTTGCATGATATTTGCACGTTGCACATTACCGGCCTTTCTAAATAAATCCTAGCAAAATAAATTTATAAAGTTGGATGAATTAATATTTGTTACATTAAAGATAAATAAATAAACAATCAAATCAATTAAAAATTTAATTAACCTTTAAATCTTGCCAACCGACTATTTCAAGCATATAAACGTAATTTATTAGTATTGATTTCAAATTGTGATAACCAATCAAAATAATTGCATAAAAGTTTTCTCAAAGTACATCATTCGCGTTTTTTTTTTTTTTCACTAACCTATAAATGGAAGCTTTTTATTTGCGAAATATTAAAATTGTCATCCAAAGGCAAATTTTTTTTTTTTTTTTAAAAAAAAAAAAATTATTATAATTTATATAAAATAGATTAAGATATTATTGTTAAGCTATAAAAAAAAAATTGATTCAACTTCCCCAATTTTCACTAAAAATTAAATATAATATACTCACGTTGCCAACGAAAAGTTGTCTACCTTTGATTGTCATTATTTACAAAAAAAGAAATTTTTTATTTTTAAAAAAAATTTCTCGTCCTCTTTTAATATTTAAAAAAGGAAGTATCAAACTATTATTATTTTTGGGGGAGAGCTAACCAACCATTAAACGAAAAAAAAAATGTATCTTTCTTAAAAAACTATACAAACGAAAAATAATATTTAATGGAACGCGAGTTTATCAAATAATAAACACCGCGTTATAAAAAAAGGTACAAATATCAATAGATAAAGTAATATAAAAAAATTGGTTGTATTGTAAATAAACACCAGTAAAGGTGAGTGATAAAATAAAGGGAAAAGATACAAAAAAAAAAAATGTGCGAAATAAAAAGAAATAAAAGCGCGAAGAAAGCGTATTAGAACCAATTTGTCTAGTAACTATAGGGTATAACGTGAACAAGTACGACCGCAGACGAAATTTTACGCAGGACACAGTCTACGAAGAATTTACACCATTTAGTCGGTTAAAAAAAGAAAATAAAATTCTATTACAATCGTTATATTTATATGTTTATGAAGTTTATTTACAAAATAGTCGAATAATACATATATCAGGCACGAGAAGAAATATTTTTTTACAAAGAGGTAATATTCTCGTACATTAACTTTATTATTAAAGGTAGATTCGTACGAATTTACATACGGCACATAATTGTAAAAATCGAAAAACAGGGTTCGTGTGTATATGAACACTATAAATCGAGGAAAAAAAAAAATTTTATTGATACTCAGTAGGAATGATGACGAATTGGTTTCGCTTTTCCAACTGCGAAAATAATACATCATCAAACGATGAACGATACCATTGGGCAAGTTTTTTGGGCTGTTCTTAGCAAAGTGCGGCTTGACTTATTGGGCGTGGGCGCGGGGTCCACACCTGCAAGACCTGTGACATGCGTGTGCACAGCATGAATTCGCTACTTCTAATTTGGATAAACGTGACGATTCCCCTTCGCTTAGAAAATTTTAAAGAACTTGCAATATCATTTTATTTAAGCATATATAGATGATTTCGACATCATTAAAAATCTTCTTGCCCGACGGTATCCAATTCAATTCTTTCTTCATCAGTATAATATCCCTCTTGATCAATTTGCGTGTCTGGCCTCTCAGTATCATATATCATACCTACATTTTTATGAGGGGATGGTTGTTGTTGCTCGCATTCTTCACACCAATATTCCCTGAAAACAATTGAACTTTATTAAATTTTATATACTAGTAAATCGAACTTAAAATTTTAACTTACACGTTCATTGATTCTTTACGATGCGAATGCCATTCAAGAGCACACGTTTTTTTATCACATTTATTGCAATTAATAATACATCTTCTAAAGGATGCGTCTTGAAATAACCTTGGATGAAATTGATCATCATGACAATAGCTAACAAAAAAATTTTATTTTTTTAGATATAAATAAAACATTGAATAAAAAAAATGATCCAAAAAAAAAACAATTCTTACTTTGTTTTACGCATAAAATCAACTAGTTGATCTCTATGTTCAGACTCTTCTATATAATCACAAGTACGACACTTCAACAAAAGTTTTGAAGCATTAGTATCTTCTATTTCGAACATGAGGTTACGACTAATTTAATAGAAAAATAAATTATTATCTTTTTTGAACTTTTTTTACTTGTAATAAAAAGTTTTTAATATTTATGATACCATGTAGGACAGTATTTCAAATCTGGTCGCCTCATGATTCATAAAGTTGAATTATTTTAGAAAGAAGTTCAACAAATTGATGACTCTTTATAATTTTTTTTACGTCAGTTTAACCTTTGATTTAAATTATAATAAACGTCATATTCTATATTAATAATCTCATTTATTTTATTCTATTGATACAATATTTTCATTTAATATAAGATATAATACAAAGGCGCAAGTAGAAATATTAATCGATATTTTAATAACATAAAAATATAATTAAAATTCTTTGCGCAAAAATAATATAAAATAAAATAAAATAATAATCCGCCATTATAATTAATTAAGTTCTAAAAATATCCAGTCCACGTAGAATAAAATAAAAATAAACTGAAAGAATGGAATTCAGAAATTCAAAATAATAACAATAATAAAATTTATTAAACCCATTTTGTGTATATATATGTGTGTTTTTTTTTGAAAAGGAAAATGTTTCATAATTTAACAAGCATAGCGGAGACTCTTAAAAAAACCGAATGAAAAAGAAAAGATAATATTACTCATGATAATTCAATAAAGGATTATCATCATCATCTAAATTAGCTAATAAATCATCAATGATTAATTCATTGTCTTCATCTTTTCCTTCCACAGTAACTTTCATTCTCTTTGAAGCTCGATCAGCAAACTCGTCAACTTGATCATCTAAATATGTCCTTTGATGAAGATATTGTTGAGGGAATAGAATAGGCGGGACGTACTGAGTCATCGTGGTAGTTGATTCTACTGCGGGTGCGGTAGAAACACTTGCTTTGGTTGTTCCAGTTGTTGAAGGTGTGCTAGTATTAACGTTATTAGAAGAAACTTTATTTTCAGATAATAAATATTGATTTGAAACATGAGAGGAAGAGGATGAATCGACACCATGGGTGCTTCCCATAAGATTAAATAACATTTGATGATCATGATCCGTAGGATTAAAATTCGCACCATAATATGTCAAAAAATCATTCTCGGTGGCAGCACTTCCTTCTAAAGTAATCTCTTCATGTTCATCAGGATCAAATCCTAATTGAGAAGTTAAGGAAGTCAGATAGTCGACGTTTGATTCAACTGCACTGATACGAGTTTCGAGTTCACTAATGCTTCCATTAACTGGAAGAATATTATCTTTTCGACTGATTAAATTTGAAGGTGTAGATGAAGTATTGGGTTCGGTTTGATAAGTTGAAGTTGAAGTTGAAGGTAATTTATATTGAGAATTCGAGATGTTTGAATTATTATTTGAAGAAGTGGATGTAGGAACAGAAGTGTTATTTGTTGTGTTGGAAGTCAAAACACTTGGTACAGGGGCATTTTTGATGGAATCTGATGCTATTGATGTATTAGCGAGAGTATTATTAGGAATGGAAGTTGATGGTGGTGGGAGCAATGAAGGGTCACTTTGCGATATTTGATTCAAAATTTGGTCAGATTGGAGCAAATTAGAAAAGTGGGTTGTAGCTGAATTTAAGAAATCGGTATTAATTCCATCAGAAGACAATGATGGTAAACAATTTAAAATATCAAACTGTGACATATTTGCAGATGATGGATCATTGATCGCTAAAGAAGCTAAAAGTGATAAAGCCGCTAAAATTTTTAAGCATATTAGTCATTAGTGAAATTTCTTTCAAAATAATCATAAATAATATATTAATTTAAAGAATGTTTATTTACCAGGATTATTAATATCTAATACCAAACATGAAGCATCGGCTTCATTAGGAGAAGAAGAGTTGGGAGAAGCGGTTGTTTGCCCATCATTACCAGCGGTCCAAGTATTTCTTTGCTCTGATGATCCTACAACATCTTGATTACCATAGTCCGTATCAGCATTACCAAGCAATAATCTTCGTTTCTTTGGTATAATGGCTCTCGTTTTATCAGCAGAAAACACTGAAGCAAGAAACCGTAAGATTTTATCAATGGTTTCTTGTTGGCGCCGATGCCTCTCACGCGCTGACATAGTCTCCTGCCATAGAATTTGATTATCCCTCTGAATATTCTTTAAATCTGCACTTATAGTCAGTTGATGTTTCTTAACGGAAGAAATTTCATTCAATATATGATTTAGATCAACTTCATTTGGCTCTTTAATATTTTCAGTATCTTTCCCTTTCTTACGAGTAACATAATATAAGAGATCCGGTTGATTACGAATGAAATTCGTATTGCTGAATTCCCACTGTTCGGACTGTCCGTCTGATTGGAGTACACCCTGTTGAAGATGTGGTATTTTATGAAACCCATACATATTCAACTGTCTCACAAAACTGCTAAAGTTGTTATGTTTGAAGAATCGTGGAAGAACTTCTTTTGCAAAGTCTTGAGGTCTCTTCACTTTATTAAAAAAAATAAAAAGATTAATAGATTGAAAAATTGATAAGTAATAAATGATTTTCAGATTATTGACTTACCAAGGAAAGAATTACCGGCCTCAGACCAAATGATTAAATCGTTTGACTGAGGATCATTAACCATGCTAAATTGATAAAGGTTGTCAGAGGATAAAGGAAACATAAGGGATACACATGACTATAAGAGAAAGAAAAGAACCAAGCTCTCCCAAAAAGGGCCAAAAATGGGAATAAAAATTATAAAGTACCAAAATCTTACTTATAAAGTTTATTCAAAAAAGCCGGTACAGTTCGATTACCTGCCCTTGTTGGAGATCTAGGAGCCACTGGTCTTAGTAGTGGTGGAGCGGGAAGTGAAAGGTTAGTACTTCCCGGAGAGTCTATATCTGTTGGACTATCCGGCGGCGATTGAGATGTGGCTAAACGTTTCCGTGAATTTGATGGAAGAACATCGGAAAGTGGATTACTTGTAGTTCGCTTGCCGGTTGCTAATGAAGATTGGACTTCCGTTTTTGTGTGCTGCATTTCCTGTAAAAAAAAAAAAAAAAGGAAAAAATAAACTAACTAAAAAATAAAAGGGTTTCGATTGCAAATGATGGTATTTGTTTAAATCCTACTAGGCTAAGTAAGTTATTCAAGAGATCTTGTAATCGGTCGTTTTTTTTTTATTTTTAACAGTGATCTAATAAAGAAGACGTAGCGCGACGCTTAATGGGGAGAAAAGCAAATAATCACGTGATTAATCTGCAAATTCAATATAATATCGAAGTCAAAAGGGAATTTTTGGAATTTTTAAGTCGTCAATTCTTAAGCAAAGTTCTGTCACGTGATGTGATACCATTTCGAATTGATTACTACATAAAAAAAATCAACAATGTCCCCTAAATTCAGTAACATTTCTCTGAAGAAGTTATGAGTAGCAACTAATTAAATATGTTAACAAAATTTTAAGTAGAAATTTAAGCAACGAGAATGAGAATACACTTAGAGAAAGGAAGTTCGATGGCTCCGCTATTCTTGATACTTCAAAAGACGAACTCATAGGGTACCCGGTACTGCTAAAAAAATATATTTTGAAGGTTATTTTGAGATTGAAATATCGGGTTGGTGAGTTTAGACTATGACTAAAATTTAAGGAAAAATCGTCAACGAAATTTTTTAGTATGATTAATATAATACCTAATGCTTCATTTTCACGGTTCTTCTAGAAAGTTCGTTTTTGAGTTGCAAAACAAAAAGATTACTCAATTGTTGTTTTACAGATTGCTGGACAGTATTACAAAAGAAAACCAGAACGGAATTTCTTGATTGACTTGAAGAAGTTGATGAGGCAGACATTGCTATAAACCAACTACATACACAATAAAAGATAAAAAAACATTCAACACCTTTCTTGAGACTGTTCCGGTGCTAAAAAAGTTAATAAAGATAAATTTTACCATTGACACTTGTAAGTATGCAATTAAATTTATGCTTTTTTTTACATAAGTTTTGATTACTTTCACATTTAGCACAGATAAATGTCTCTAAATTTAGGAAAATAACTGACCTAGTGGATATTATAAAAGACTTGACTACAATTTATGACTTACCTCAAATGAAATTCGTACGTAAAGTTCTTGAGAAATTTCATATGTTGTATATTCATACTAATGTTTTCAGGTCCAATTGCTGGAACGATCATATTATATTGATGCTGTTTTACGTGACATTGTTAAATCATTTGGAAAAGATGTTCAAAATTATAATATCATTGGATCTCATGGTGATGATGGACGCGTAGATTTTATTATCAAGCATGCGAATACAACTAGGGAACGGGTTGTTAAGTCCGAACGAAAATCCAATAATGTAACACAAATGTAGAAAATATAAAGTACGCGTATACTTAATAAAATAAACTACTTGAAAATTTAACACAAACAAGTTAATTAACGGGTTTACTAATTTACCCGCGTTATAATTGAGATTAGTTAGTGTTAGGTGATGTTTCAATTTTTATTATATTTTTGAGGGACAGAATTTTTTCGGTGGGTGATGCTTATTTGTCACGCATTGGGATGTTATAAATAAGCATAATCAATTATACCAGCCAATCATAGCGTGGGGGGTAAATTAGTAGACCCGTGGTTGGTTATTAAATATTCTTAATAAAAAAGCTATTTGAAAATCGAATACAATCAAGTTAAGTCATGCGTTTATTAATTAATTAATTAATTAATTATACTAATAAAATCAAATCAAAATTAGAAATTATTAAATTAATATAACTGTGCAATATAATATATATAAACAATAAACTTTATGAAGTGTAAATTTTAATCATTTTGAGTAAATTTTTGTAAATAGGCTCGTAAAAATATATATATAATTGATATATAATTGAACTAAAACAATAATTTCATTGAAACAGTACCATCCGTTTTGATTGTCTTGTTATCATTACTTCAATTATTTTTATATTTCAAGATCTAACTATAAAGATTGGAATTCAATTTGATTTATAAGATCTTATAATCAATAAAATTGTATATGTTTACTTTAATAAAGTTTTTCGCTCACAATCAAACCAAAGTCCACTATATAATGAACAACCAAACCACTAATTCTAATACTCTTTGAAAGCGTAATGAAACAAATAAACAATGTAAAGAACATTTTGCACGTGATCACAAAAGAAAAGAAAAAACCAAGATCATAAAAAACAGTATGTAAATAAAAAAAGGAAAAAATTCAATAGAAAATGCTAAGAAATGTGAGATTTATCTTAGAGTAAAAGTGAATGTAAATGTGAAACATGCTTTTGCAATAAATAAAATCATAATAAACTAATAAGTAAGAACCCAAGAGATAATACTAACTTACCTATACATAATAGAATACTCTCAGTTACCACTATCAGCAAGGAAGAATAGTTTATTGCAGAAATTTCACAATAAAATGGCAAACATTAGATATGACTTTTGTCTTGTTTATAACAAGCAAATATAACAATAATGATTATCAAGAAAATGAGTTAGCATTGCTATATAAAAAGACATTATTAAAAAAGTTTTATATAAGAATAACATAAATTTTGGTAATATGACAAAGAAAATAAAAGAATTCATAAGGATCAAAGAGAGGTTATTCACATAAGTTTTTATGGTAATATTAGTATATTGACTTTGAAGATATTAAAATAAATACAGAGAAAATGTTATAAACTTTCTCTAAGATATACAAGAATCCACAAATAGATTTTTGCAACATTTATTATAATTAAAAATACTATTGATATAGTATTAATTAGTATAATTTAGCAAGTAAATTAGAGATTTTATTGTATAATATGATCAAGATATTAAAGTATTAATATGATTAAAAGTAAACAATATATACTATAAAAATATTTCAATATTCTCTAATTCTTATTTGCAAATAGATCTATTATTAATTAGCTTAAATAAGTTCATAATAAATCAACAGATAAAATATTAAATGATAAAAAAATTCAGAAAAACAAATATAATATTCATTTATATTATATTTATCATAATATAAAATAATATTATTAATGATATACTTAATCATATTATTACTGTAGAATTTCTTAACTCAGAGTGGTCACGTTATCAAGCTTTACTCAAAGTTTTCTAACTGCGACTTACTACAGTCAAAATGTTAGGATCTGCTTAACTTTTAACTTTACCAAATTTACGCGTTAAACTTAAACAAATTTATCAAGTATAAAGGTTTGAAAGACGAGATTATGAACAATTTAATTAAAGAATTTGGATGATGAACTAAATTACAAATAATGTGTAAGGATCACATCAGATTATATAAAGACATGAAAAAGCAGAAAGATATAAGTTTTGAATGATTCCTTTATTAATATTGAAACTCATATTCGCAAAAGAGTTAATTTACAACATAAGCAAAAAGTCTATCTATT